AGTATTAGAGCATGGCTGAACCTAGATAGATAAAATTTAAATACATGATAAGTTTCAGAATATTAAAAACTTTACTGGATTTTTCTATTCATTTTTTTTTCAATCCTGCAGAAGGTCCCAAAATAAACTAAGAGGTTCAATGAGCTCCCCTCATATAATACATGCTGTGAGTTGTATTGATTTAAATGGACAATAGATGGACAATAGACATATCCAAACAATATTTGATTTAAAGTGTGTATCTGAGTGGACCGAATCAAATGAAAATTAGGTTTTAGTTTATTTTGCTATCTTCTGCAGACTGGAAAATACACATCGAAATCCAGGTAAGTTTTTAATTTTCTGAAAAATAAACTACGTTTAACTTTTATATATCTAGGTCCAGCCAGACCTTAAAAAACGACGTTTAAGTCAAAATAGCGATTTATAGATTATCAATGATCTTTCAAACTCGGGGATATTTCTCGGTATCATCTCATCTCAGGGATGTCGCCCTTCTATGAGATTATAGCTGTGAAACACACTCTCGTTAGTTAGAAAAACCATTGATATTCTATAAATATGAACAATTGCATAATATGCCACTCATATCTCATTATAATGTTATATAATTAAACCATAATAAGCCCTTTTTGACATCTGTAATTTCGATTTAATATAGATATGAAATATCAAATGAGTAGTTTGTTTCATTACAGCGTTATGCGCGACTGCAGAATATTCGGAGACAATTCAATATGCAAATATTGATGAAAGTGTTCAATTAATATGCCAACAAAAGAAAGGAGCAGAAAGTCTAAGATGGCTACGTGATAGTTTAATTTTGTCAAATGAACAAAGAATAAACAACCAAAATCCCTCATATAGAAAGTTAACGATAGATATTAAATCAGATAGAAGCCAGTACAACCTGCAAATTGCCAATGTTACAGTCGATGATTTTGGGCTGTATCTTTGTGAAATACAAACAAACCAAGGAATATCAAGAAAAAGAGTAACACTTAAACAGAAAGGTAATAAACTAACAATTAAACTTTGTGATGCTATTAAAAGATCATTTTTAGTCGATAGATATGTCAGTATATCTAATTTACGAACAAACCAACCATACTTTTCTAGAAACAGACTTCTTCACAATCTCATGTAGAAAAAATTGAATTCTCGAATATCGTAGATTTTTGTCCTGAATTTAGAAGATTTATCTAGGACTTCCGTCTTATTTACTTTAATGTCTTGGGTATTTATTTCTCTGAGAGTGTGAACACAGCCTTATGTTACATGTTGCTCATGATCATTTGTAGAAAACCGCTTCTCGCAGGTCTGATGAGTAAGGACCTTGCAAATTTTTTTACAGTTTTTTGTTATGTTGTGCTCCTACGACGTCACTGTACCTAGTATGGATGAGGGTTGAAAGCTCAGATATATGTTCCACACCGCCACATTCTTAAAGTACCTATCCGAGGTCGGCAGCCTTCTGTTCAGTGGTTATCTGTTACCAGTCATTACTTAATAGCGTTATATATCTGTGACAATTTTCATAGTTTATCACGATATCAACAATTCGAATTGAAAGAAGAAATTCTGCAAACCGATGTACCTGGAGTCATTTTTGATCGATTTGCCAGGTTTGAATAATAGTTAACCACTATCGCCTTAGTTTTCTTAGGGTACGCATTACAACGATAAAAAAATTAAATAACAAATGTACCGAACTCCAAGGAAAATTCAAAACAGAAAGTCCTATATCAAATGGCAAAATCAAAGGCTTAAACACTTCAAACAAATGGAAAACAACTGTCATATTCCTGACTTGGTATAGGCATTTCCTAATGTAGAAAATAGTGGATTAAACCTGGTTTGATCAACTGGTACATTCTATATAGAATTTTATCATTTACATAATCAAAAGTATTCAAATACGTGTTTGCACTAGGAATAAAATAACTACTATGAAACCAGTCGGTGAGAGCAACCGGAATTGGAAGCGGGCCGATGTAAAAGCGAGGCGAAATATACCAAAGGGATATTCCAACTCATAAGTCGAAAACAAACTAACAACGCAAAGAAAAACACGCAAAACGACAAAAAAAAACCCAGAAAACTAAAGAATGAGAAACACGAACTCCACCAAAAACCACGGGTGATTGCCGGTGCTCCGGAAGGGTAGGCAAATCCTACTCCACATGTGGCGCCCATCATGTTGATTATGTAAGTACACACCCGGTTATAAGTCTAATTTTGTAGGTCACATTTGAAGAAAAGATAATGGGGTTGTAGTTACAACGATTGGAACATATCCATCATGTCCGTTATTATCTGTGAAACAGAAATACATTACGGTCAACCAACTCGTGATGGCGTTTTTAAAATTTTCGAAGTGACTTCAACTTCACCTCTGGAACTTTTAGTACAAAAGCTTCTCTGTAAGCAGCAACCCTTTATCAAGGATAGCATGATAGAAAATGCAAACACTGGAATATCGTTTCAACTGGGAGACACTAGTATATACTCCTTATACAGGCGGTCCTGTAATGTTGCTATATAGAAATGGA